TTCTCTACGTTCTACAGATTAATTAGATGAAATTAAATACGTTTCTTAATATCTATATTTTATATAATTGCATTATATTTACATGACTAATGTCCGTAGGAAGCTCAGATACGCTACGCTTGTTTTCAATACCTAAAAAATTATATTAAAATGATATTTTTTAATTTAGCTATATATAATTTCGAAGAATTAAATTATTGTTAGATTCTGATATCTAAGATATCATTAAATAATTCTTCATTGATTTTTTTCAGTAGAATTGTTGCATTTAGAAAAAACATAATGATAACAACTATATAAGTGATAAATATAAAAGTTTTATATGTAGAATTAATAAATATATATTGTATATATCGTTGAATAAAGTATTTTATACTTATTGCAATAAAAGTTAAAGGTGATAACTGATAAATTCTAATAACCATTTAGCTTTAGCTGCAAAATAATTAATACTACTGTAAAATAATTAATTTATTAATGTACATGATTTGTCATATTTAATTGTATATTAATTGTACATATAAAATTTATATAGCTGTTAATATAATTGCCTATTAAAAAATATTTTTTTTTTAATGCGTACGAATTTTTTATTTAAAACTGAAGGAGAAATAGAACATAGCAAGTTAGAAGTGATTGATGTATTTAATGCCTTACATTTCCAAAAGTCGTTAATGACAGATCTGCCATTCTACCAGCACTAAGTTTTATAGGATGGCTGGACATAGCAATTATCAGTACAAGACTGCGGACAGATCGTGGCGATAATTGATACCAGTTAATCATATAACACATTGATCCAATTTCAATGCTCTGTAACATCGCAACGATCATGTGATTATGATCAGTGATTAACTTTAAAATCTAAAAAATGTACCTTTTCCATGAGAAGCTCGCCAATATAGCACAATATGTATATATTGAAGCAAAACGAAATGAAGAGCAAAAAATAAGTTGCTAAACTAAGCTTATTGTCGTCTTTCCAGTCCTATTAAATCGTAAATAGTAAATATAATTTTCTCGCTACTAGTTATCTTTTATCCGGTGTTTTAAGTATACAGTACATATTAGCGCACCACTATACAGTAGTATTCAAGTAGACATATTGTACATACAGAACTAGTAAATTCCACTAAACATACTTCTTGTAAAACTTCCTCTACCACAGCTGAAAATCTGTAATAATTCGTTTTAATTTGTATGAGGAAACTTGAATGTATTATTCCTGACATTCCTACTCAAATATATTTGTGCACTTAACTGCAGTACAGTTTAAATACGCAGTATGTATAAATGTAGGCTAATATACAATGTATGCTTATAGTCGATTCTTTGATATGTAACAACACCATTTACTGAAACTTTATTGGATGTTCATTGAGACCACCTGTTGCATTCTCTATACATTACCTTTATACAACGAATTGAAAATAGTTGATCAAGTCATATAAACGAAGTGCAGCAATATGCAATTATATTTTTTTTATTATTATATATATATATTTTTTTTTTTAGTATTATATATATAGAATATTCCACGTCAAATCGACAATTCATCGATTCCTGTCGATTTTTTACTGATTTTTTAATATATTCTTCATATTAAAGTATGTATTTAATTTTTTTTTTTTTATCTTCATTAATTTCCTAGATATGAATTTCTTAATATTTTCAATTTATTTTATTTTGTAAACGTTTAATTAAACATAAGTTCTGTTTAAATTATTAAAAAGCGAAAAATAACCACAACAAATTGTTCGTTTTGAAAGTCTCTGTTAGGAAAAAATTTGAAGAAAACTTCAAATTTTTATTTCTACTCAAACAATCTGATTGAAATAAACAAAATCGATTTTCATCAAGACTGATATTTTTAATTTTTTATTAAAAATTCTCCAATATTTTCTTAATAGAAATATATAGAATTTGAGCTGTACTTGATTATAGTCAAAATTTTGGTTCCATTTTTTTTTAGTTTTTCAATATATTAAATCTATCATTTAATGTTAGTAGAATTTTAATTAGTTACATAAATCATGTTATTTCATAATGATACTAGAAAATATATTTCTATTGTAATTTCACAATTATTTAAGGAATAAGGATTTATAAGAATATTATTTAAATAAAATAACATGATTTATGTAAGATTAAAAATCTACTAACATTAAATGATAGATTTAATATAAACTTTTTATTGAATAATTTTGAAAAATTAAAAAAAAGTGAAAAGATGATTTTGACTATAATTAAATACGGCTTAAATTCTTTATATTTCTATTAAAAATATTAGAGAATTTTTTAATTAAAAATATCGATCTTCGACGAAAATCGACTTTGTTAATTTCAATCAGATTTTTCGAGTAGAAACAAAAACTTGAAGTTTTTTTCATATTTTTTTTCTAACAGAGAATTTCAAGATGAACAATTTGACGTGTTATTTTTTGTTATTTAATAATTGAAACAGAACTAACTTAACTTTAACTAAAGGTTTACGAAATAAAATAAATTGAAAATATAAAGAAATTCATATCTAGGAAACTAATAGAGATAAACATTTAAAAAAATTAATGAATGCATATGTTAATATGAGGAATAATTATAAAAATCAGTAAGAAAATCGGAATCGATGACAAAGGCCGTCGATTTGATGTGGAATATATTAGTATATAAAAATTAGCCATCAAATTAGGCATGATAAAACGAATGTGTAATATTATTTCTGAGTCAAATTAATTGCTAATTAAGTTAATATTATACAATAAAGTATTAATAACTTGTTTTAATTAATATTGTTATTAAACATTTTCAGTTATAATATAAACTGCATATCATTAAAAATGTTTAGCTATATTTTTTTAATTTCTTTGTATTACTGAACTGTCTTGAGTTCTTAAGTACTGAGAAAAAAATATTTGGTATTTGTAATTATATTTACATATTACTATAATTATAATTGTTACTGTTATAATATTAGTATTAATAATTATATGTATAAAGTAATAAATGTATATAATTGGCAACCTGAAATGAGTATAATTCTAACCATAAAAATGATTGAAATTATTGTCCAAAATGATTCAAATTAACATAAGCTTATAGTCATTTTTTGGAATATGTTTCAAACAATGTGACAATAAGGTTATAGTAATTCGAATCATTTTTATGGTAATTTTATGGTAATTTTAATTCTTTTTATGATATAATAACTATATATTTTTATGTTATAATACACTAATGGTTATAATAACTATAATTATACTTGTTTTAAATTGCCAACATATACATTTGCCAACATATATATTTATTAGAACTATAATTACTATTACTAATGTTATAACAATAATAATTATATGTAATATGTTATAGTTACAAGAGTAACAAGCACTTTTCTTTCAGTGAGAAATAGATATTCTGAGATTACCTTACTATACGGACATGATCCTTCACGATGATAGCAATCCGTTGATGAATGTTTGAGTTTTCGTCGTTTAAGAGAATTTTCAATCGCGACATGATCACTTGGATTTGACCACACGCATGAGTGACAAATAAAGCAGCCAATCCGCACGCACCAGCTGTTATCGAATATATAGTATATCCGCACATACAATGAGCCACATATACAATTTCATATATAGGACTAATTTGGAATTGGTAAAATTCATTGTAAGTTGGATAAACAAGTGGTCTGATGGTTTGATTGTTGATTTTGGTCTCGGAAAAAAATGGGATCAGAATCCCGTAATAAATAATACCGGCAGTATACATGAAAGATGCGCCGATTATCGTTAAATTGCGACCGATAGTCGCGTACTTCAGCATCAGTTCCCGATCAGATCTGAATGTTACCTGTCACAGTATTATCACTTTTTATTTATCTAAATAAATAAGAGATCATTCGGTCGGTTTCACCAACGCCAATTACTTAATGGGCGTTTAACTAATTAATCGAGTCAATTCTATTAAACAGAAAATGCAATTGATTCTGTTAAACGCCTATTAAGTAATTGACGTTGATAAAACCGACCCACTATTTACCAATTTAATTATCTAGCTATTATATTGTCTACTTTTTTGTGTTTAAAGCAAAGTTATCGCTTCAATGTAGACAGAAATAAAAATTGTATTAAAAAAACAATTTTTAGAACTGAGATAACACTAACTCATGCATTTTTTTTATTTAAATCATTCTCGATACTTCGAGATGATTAGCACATCTGTTAAGTACTAATAATACCGACCTGCCACCAATCATGCTTTACATATTCGATGCAGCGAAGTATTTTAGGGCGACGTATCGCGAGGATGCAATATTTTGTCATCGCGGTGAGGCAGAATGCTAGAAGGCCGCATAGTTTCAATCTCATGATGATGTCTTTCTCGTCGTATACGATGTGCAAGGCACAGGGTACCATGGCGAAACTTAACGCGAAATTACCGAGCGCGATCGCGATCCTAGGCGCGTGTCGTCCGATGCCTTGAAACGAGACTGGCCATAAGCCAATCGAGCCCAGAATCCAATTGTTTAATTTGAAGATATATTGAATGTCTTGTTGATAGTTGGGATCTTTCTCATTGCGCATACTTGACATGTTTGCGGTCACAGTGGCTGTTAAAGACTGCACGAGATGGACAGCGCGCGGCATTGATTGCAAGGTCGTTGGACATGCGCTTGCGCTCGAATTGTAGACATCCTTTTCTCTGCGTATAGACTACTACGTATAGTCTGTGCGCGATTTTAGCAATGTGTGAAACGTTTTTGTTCAGAAAACATCGCCATAAAAACACATTATTACTTCTTGCGGTAAAGCGATTTTAAGATAAGTTCCTCTCGACTTCATTTTTCGTACTTCATTTTTTTGGATATCGAAAATGCAAGATTGAAGTGAAATGCGAAAAAGATCAATTAATATAAAATAAAAAAGTGCATTGGAAAAATAGGTATGTAGAAGTTAATTATTAATTAAAAAATGTTGTCCTTTTTTTTAAATACATTTAGAAACCTTTATTTATAATATAAATAAAGGTCATATTTACATAAGAAATTCTTATAATTGATGGAAAAATATTATTAAGGAAAAATCATGGTAAATATGAATTGTATTTTGAATAATATATTACAATTGATGCAATTTAGCTAAATGATAAATGTAAAATATTTCTATTTCTAAAATCTAAAATTTTGAATCGGGATAAATTTATTATTGAATATTTTGATACGTGCATTTAATGGATTTTATCAAACATGTATACAGTATTATGTTGGAATATAGTCATTCAGTATTCATAATTCATTCACAATTATTTATAAATCTTTTTCTCAATAAAAAGACTTTACTGAATATTATTTTGTTGATCAAAATCTCAGCAAAAAATAATTGATCGATGTCGATAGCTTAATGCCATCAATAATCAATTCGACTAATTATTTCTGGCAGAGATAACATTATAAAGATTATCTCGTATATATCAAATGAATTTTCGAAGCAAGTTTAAATACGCAATTGAAGTTTTCAAAACCTGTTAATGTAATAAATATGTAATTTAAAAAAATTTATTATTAAATAAATTTTTGTTTTTTGTTTTCTAAGTGATAATGAATTGTACTTACGGAACCGAAACTCGAGAACGAAAGACTAACTATTTTTCCTGCACTAATTTTTACAGGATGATGTGATATGCTGATTATTAACGTAAGATCGAGTGCAATTTTTCCTGGTAAATGGTACCACTCGATTTCGTATGAAGTATATCCAATTTTACTGCACTAAATTATTTTTTAATTTATATATGTATATTATTATACACATATTACACAGGGTATCCTGCATTGTTGGTCTAGCGCTTTTGTATAGATAAAATGGACTAAACTGAGTCGAAAAGTCCTGTATCATTTTGCAATTTTCGCAATGATTAATGACAGTAATTACTAAAAATTGCCGAATATAGATCTTCAATAATTTTTTACTCAAATATTGGGTTGTCCGGAAAGTTCGTGCCGATTTTGAAGGAAAATTGATACGCAAAAGATTTAAATTTTAGTATACATTTATTAAATTTAAATCTTTTGCGGCACGAACTTTCCGGACAACCCAATACTATCAATTTTACAAAAAAAATAGCAAGAGACAAAAATTGTTTATTTTCTTTTTATAGAGCTCTAAGAATTTTTTCAGAATCTTTTATCAACATTTTAGTACTACATTTTCTTATTTTTATCAACATGAGGAAATGTGGTACTAAAAAATTCTGAAAAAATTCTCTATTCAGAACTCTATGAGAAGAAAATAAGCATTTTTTGTCTCTTGCTGTTTTTCTGTAAAATTGATAGTATTTGAGTAAAAAATTATTTGAAACCAATATTCAAATTATTTTTAATAATTAATATCTTGTTAATTATTGCGAAAATTGTAAAATGGTACAGGACTTTTCGACTCAGTATAATCCGTTCTATTTACACAAAACCACTTGGCCAAAAGCATTTGCGAGTGATCCTATATATGTACATATGTATTTTTAATTTATATACATTATTTATGTATATGTTAAATTTTTATAAATAACAATATTCAAATTAAAATTTTAAGTTTTGAATTTTATATAATTTATTTTATTATTAAAAATCGAAGAATAAACACCTGACTTGTTAACTGTTCACCAATGTAGCAAAGCGTGAAAACGTTGAAGACAAACGATATTAATAGAAAGAAATATGTTAAAATAGCTATGCTATCGTTGTTATTCCATTCCTGCGAGAATAAGATAATATTCAATCATTTATTTTACTCGTAACGTTTTTATTGAATTAAAAACATATGTTTATACTATAAAATTTAATTTCTTTAAGAAATGAGATTTGTTAAAATGTTTTTAATATTGATAAAAAAATGTTAAATATCTATATAATTATAGAACTGAATATACGAGAATGCAAGTTGAACATACAATATATATACATGAATATGAAATAACATAACATATAATATATTTAAACTTTCATCATTTTTTTTAAGTTAAAAATTGTTTATGTATTACCGTAATGCAGTAATATTCCAGCGAACATATAATGAACGTTGCTCCTACTATTTCAACCAAACCTATTTCGCGTAAAATCTTATCGATGTCAACTGAAAATCTACAAAACTCTTTAATATAGATTCTATATATACATTCTTATATACATATTCTATATATACACACACATATATATA